TATTGTAGCGCCACATCACTAGCGGACACTTGAATTTGCCGACTAGAATGGTCGGTTAACCAATGTGACGGTTAATCGGGGGTAGGATAATCGATGCTCTACTGTAGTTATATTCCAAAAATGGCTAATATCATTAATGCTTAAATTTAAATGTTCTGTTCAAATTCTCTATTCGATTTTGAATTGCCTGAAGACGACGTACATATTTATGTTGAAAGCACTTGCAAGATTAAAATATTTCTTTTAATTCTCTTTAACACCTCCTAGTCTGAAGTTTTTAATTGAGTTAACTGTTGGCATGACATCCAAGTCAAATATTTATATAATATTCTTAATGGCTACTAATTTGCTACTACTCCAAAGGATTTATCAGCATACAGTTCTTTAATTTGAAAGATGACTAAGAAATTTCTTTATTAATTTAATTTAGTTCTTTGCCCGAGTTAACTCGGGCATGTTACATAGCCTTACATAAAACTCGGTCCTTTCGGCCCCCCAAAATTTTTTTTTAATTTTTGGAATGTTTTTTAAGTCTCCAAATTTTTTCAAAAATTTTTACCCACGCAAAAAAATTTTATCGCGATTTTAATGAACCTTTGATAAGGTTCGATTAAGGCTTAATTGTTTTTTAATGGGAGTTTTTTATCAAATTTATTTCATGGTTCCTAAGTTGTAGTGCATGGATTTTCCTTCGGTAAAGTTATTTAAAGCTGCTTTCTGATGTCAAAAACGACCTCCAATAGTTTTTTAATTTTTTTAATTAATAGATTTTATTATATACACGTTTAATTAAGTCGGGGGGGGTCGGAAATCGCAATTAAAATTTGAATTGTTTAAAAATATTTAAAAATATATGGCCAGCTAGAACTCACCCTACTTTAAACCCTTGTCCTCCCGAGACTTCTATGAGAATGTCCCGGGAAATACGACTCCAGCAGTGTTTAAGGTCATCCAGCTGTGTAAACAATGACTCATCGGTGTCAAATTTCGCAGAAAGGCGAGACAAAGGAAAATAAAGTTTGAAGCTTTTTCTTCAAAATTAACGCATTTCTTTCGTTTTTTTCAGTTTTAAGTATTTTTTTATGTTTAATTACATTAATATCAAAAATTGCTGGGAACTTAAGGTGTTAAACCAATATGTGCACTTTGGGTTCATCAATACCCATCATCAATTGGTATCTTTTTTTTCTGTTAAACAAAACAAATTATTCTAACTTTACCTTAAATTTATCATATATATTAAAATGTTCTTTCAACATGAAATAACTTTTTAAATTATTATTTAAAATTATAAGTAACATTCATATTTATAATATACAGTAATACCTCGACTTACGCGAACCCGAAGTTACGCGATTTTCAAATCTCGTCGATTCATCTTTTGTTTGAGCGCTATACAACTTTTGATTACTCACTCCCCCCATACTATTGTTCAGCTTACATGTTCGGACGTGTTGTGCAGAATCGACACACAGCTACAATTTATTTTGTGTTATTTATTTCTGTGTTTGTTATATCTATGGAGACTCGAGAGACTCTATGTGGTGATTTCTTGTAACCGTGAACGAATGAAAGGATGAGATAAGATTAACGAGAACATTTATTAGCTTACATACATCCGACTTGAATTTTACACAAATTACGAAATTATACCCCGACTTACGCGGTTATCACTCGGTCCCACCTATCGCGTAAGTTCGGGGTATTACTGTATTTAAAAACTGTTTTCCACTTCCATAACTATCTTTTTACATTTTAAAATTAAACAATTTATATTACACAATTTTAAACTTCCATAACTTTATAAATATTTTAATATCTTACCATACATATATGTGCTTATTTAACATTTGATTTTGATTACCTACTGTTATTATCTCTATTGTCTCTTTAGCATGCAAATATTTACATATTATGTGTGTCACCTGGTGTTCAGAATTGGTGATCATAACATTTCATTTAATTACATTCCTTCATTTTCATTAAAATTCATTAATGTATTTTTACTTTTTTGTTTTTTAATTTTCTTTTAAGATTATTATTATTTTTCTTTAGTATTTTTATTTTACTTATGCTAATCTCAAAACCTTGCGAGATTAATATAAATAAAAATTAAACTGACAAACCTGGCACACTATACACAAATTTTAACAACAATATCACATGATTCTTAAATCCAACTGTATATATAGGGCACGTTCGTAAAGTCGAACGAGTTAAACGAGAATGACGTCATCGTTATTCTTATTTCGTTAGACTTTTCGAACGATTCGCTTAGAACTAAATGGCTGTTTCTAAAATCGAAGATACAAATGTTGCTAGTACAGCCTTATCCGAAATATTTTTCTTAGATTGCTTCGGGTGGACAGTTACTGCAATCATTTCATCTTTTAATTCACAATTTAAACACTCGAGTAGATTTAGAAACATCGATATCGTCGGGCGCCATTTTCTTAACGAAGTAAACTAACTCTTTCCTTCGTGAACTTCGTTAGAGTTTCGTTCGAAACGTCATCACCGCAGAGCATGTGCACTGAACGAGACTACTACTATTCGAACGATTCGATACTAACGCGTTTAACTCGTTTGACTTTACGAACGTACCCATAGTGTACTGTTGTCACAGTACATTGTACAGTTCATCATATGTAATATATCATATAGTACTGTACAGTACATCAATTCTTCATATGTGTTGTGTGTGTTTGTGTATTTTTATGATGTGTAAATTTTTATTTATTTGTGTTCTCCCGATATAACACCTATGTAAATTACACCCACATATTTAGTCAATATTTCATTAATTTTTACTAGTTCAACGCAATACTGAAGGAACTAAACACTAACCATAATCATCAGCTGATAATTATTAGATTCAAAACATTTTCAGTCTTTTCAAGGCTATCCTCAGGATATGATTCTCTCCAAAGCACAATCAAAATACAAACAAACAGACGTTCAGATGATTGGTATTAAAAAATTAGTCCTTATACCCTACTAATCCCATAGGTTAATAGGTTATAGATCCCAATATCCTATTATTTGTGTTTGAATTGTAATTTGGAGACAATTGCATAAAGAGGATGGCCTTGGAAAGGCTGAAATACTAGCTGTTACCCGCGACTTTGCCCGCGGAAGTTTTGCAAGCAAACCCTATTTATATTCAGTATTTCAATAATCGTAGTAATTGTTATATAACACCTACCACTGAGAATGATGAGAATTGCCGAGAATCAAACGAAATGTTTTCAATTTGACGAATTTTCTGGAACGTTTACAATCGTTCTATAATCGAACCAATATGCAATAACAAATTTGAATTTAAAACGGTTCGAACATTTGGTTAAAAAATCAAAATATATAAAAATGTTTATAACAATGTCTGAAATGAAATGCTCTCACCCCGCTGGGAATTCCAACAAATCCCTTCTTAGTGTGCATTCCCATGGCGTACTCTACTAAAATGCAGTTAGAAACAAAAAATCAATCTAAAATATTACAGTAGAAGCCGTTCTTCCGGTTAAGCCTTAATGCTCTCCCTCTCCCCCCGCTGGGGAATTCCGACAAATCCTTTCTTAGTGTGCATTCCCATGGCGTACTCTACTAAAATGCAGTTAGAAACAAAAAATCGCATCTAAAATATTACAGTAGAAGCCGTTCTTCCGGTTAAGCCTTAATCCTCTACCTCTCCCGTGGGGGAATTTCGAAAAATCCCTTCTTAGTGTGCATTTCCATGACGTACCCTAACTGTCGACCAAATTTCACCTCTTAAGGTTAAGCAGTTTGCTCTGGGCAATGATGAATCAGTGAGTGAATGAGTGAGTCATTCAGTCAGTCAGGATAAGCAATTTTATATATTTAGATAATAGTTAATTGGTTTTAACATTCTCATCAACAACACTATAAGAGAAAAATGTAAATTAATACAAATTTTTTAAAAATCAGAAACAGCACAAGCCCATTGGGTATGAAATGCCAGAGGACATGCTCTATAAAATTTTTCATATCCAGGTATGAAAATTTCTATAATGTTCAGCAATACTAGCAAATGAAAACAAACTATAATTTGCTTTAAGTTGATATTTTATTTTAAAGTGGTGATCTGAAACCTAAAACTGCTGTTTAGTAAGATATGTCTCTAAGACTGCAGTTAGTGAATTTTTGGTTTTATTGACTAACATTAAAAGTATATGCAGACCCATCTTTTGTACGTGCGAGGCCCTGGGCCAAGAAATGGAGGCCCCATTAAGGAATTCATAATAGACAGTTAATATTCATAAATTTTTTCAATTAGCTTTCTCTGCTAAACATATTGTTATATTTTTATGTTTAATAAAATTTATCAAACATATCTTTTGATTGTTTACTGTTTATAATAATTTTATTACTTGTTGCTCTATTCAATTTTGCATATTTTTGAGGTCTTAAATGTTAGGAGGCCCCTGGGCCCATGCCCAGTAGGACCACACTTAAAAACGGGCCTGAGTATACGTTAAAACAATTAAAAAAATGTATAATTTGGAGATTTTATTAATTATTAATAACAACTGTGCATTCATTATCAGCCAGATATTGAGAATGATAAGTTTAAAAATGCCTATCTGATGATAATGATAACTATAATACTAACTCTGATTATAATAAGCAAAATTTTGTGTGTATTTTAACTTGTATCTTTTGAAAAGTGTTAATTACGATAACATTAAACAGCTGATGATAGCATCAGTGATTACAATAAGTAGATTTCTTTGTTTATGTATATATATTAACTCTAGATATTTTTATATTTAAGACTGCTATATTATATACAGCATCCTTGAAAAGAGATTAATTAGAAGAATAATTATCAAAAGCTGCTATATTTAACATCATATATATCCCTGAAAGTTACAATCCTAAATGAACAAATTAAACACTTACAAGATAATTTACTAATTAAAGGCATAAACAATAACAACATAAATTTGTATAAAATATAGTGCAATATGAAAAGACATCACTTGAATTTGGAATTAAAGCTGGATCAGCTGAATATTGAAGTAGTCAGTCCACTTCTTGAATATGGGGATAAAGAAAGATGTTGCATTAAATGAAACCACGGTTATGATAAACATACGTACACATCACTTTATTTTCCATGGAATCCCCACGATCCTGAAAAATACAAATTAGTGGCATTTAGGAGCCTTTGGAGCAGGGTTTTTACCCAATGCTCATAAGTTTGTTTATGATATAGAGAAAATAATGTAAACACAAATAATTATTTAGTAGTAGCAAACTGAATAATTAAAAAAGATATCAATATCAAATGCACTAAAAAAAGCAAAAAATGTTTCTGAGTGTAATCCAGATAAAATTATTTATTTCAATTTTATATTACATCTCAGACACATTTTCTAATTTGTCAAAGAATAAGTTTTTTAACTAGTTAAAGTCATAATAAGATAACAATTAACAATACCAAAGAATTATAAATTAGAAATTGCACCAAAATAAAGTGAAAATATTTCAACAAGTTATAATTTTAAATAATAAATGTACAAATACAAATGAAATAAAAATGAGTCAATAATGATCAATACTAAGTGATTTCACCTATAATAATTAGCTAAATTCATTAATAAACTTATTCCACTGTGTCATTATTCCNAGACCCAAATAGGCTTCCAGGGATATACAGTATTCCATTAAAAGATAACAGATGGGATAGGCCTTTAGTGTATATCGGATCCACCAAGCATTCATTGGCCACAAGATTAAAAGAGCATAAATCAGACATCGAACATAATAAATGTACGACAGCCCTATCTACGTATGCGACGAACCCGGACATCACACCTTTCTTCGATGAAGCGCAGGTTATTCGCACCACCCAACACCCAGAACAACTAAGAACTTTGGAGGCAGTGGAAATCTTTAAAGCCGATTGCAAATCCGCATGCATTAATTTCAAAGAAGAAATAAATCTCTCTGCAGCATGGCAATTTTTAATTGACGATAAATCATAATATATTTTATAAGATAAATTTTTTGAGGTATTGCACACAACGAATCCCCATTGGTAAAAATTATTTTTTAAATAACACGTAGATTCCTTCCATTTTCGAAATTTTTTCGAAAAATGGCACGTTCCATATTTTTCAAAAACATTCGAATTAAAGAATCCGGTTACAACGAAAGCTAAAATAAAATAAGCCTGAAGAAGATCCCAGAAGGGGAATCGAAAACGTTTGCCGATTTCAAAGAATTTTCGCACTGGTTGCTGGTTAATTGTAGATAGTTGGAGTATAAAATATTTTGTTCAAAAAACAAAAATAAGTAATCAAAAAAATGAAAATATAGTAAATATCAAAAATGTTGAAACTTTAAAGTATCAATTGAAATTGTATTTAAATAATATGATAAATTAAACTTGATCTGAACTTAAATTTATACTAATTAAATATCAAATATATTTAAATGCCAGTTCACCTGAGGATGGCCTATTCCATTAGGCTGAAAACATTTGTGTTTAAATAAAGTATTCTCAGTAATAGAAGGTATTAACTGTTTTATTAAGTGTTTTTAAATTTATACATTAAATTATAATATTTAACATAAATTATATTATTATTTAATTTTGATTACTAATATGAAGATTTAAAACTGTTAAATTAACTAAATGGTGAGGTTATATTTATTTTAACTAAATTCTTTAAACAAATAATGTTTTCAAGGTTCTCATCACTTAAATAAATGATTAGTCTTTTAAGTCTGTCAAATTAAGTAACACAAAGTCAATATATGAGTGTACAATTAAAAAATACTGTATTGTTCTATTTTAAAAATTCTGTTTCNCCGAGAATCAAACGAAATGTTTTCAATTTGACGAATTTTCTGGAACGTTTACAATCGTTCTATAATCGAACCAATATGCAATAACAAATTTGAATTTAAAACGGTTCGAACATTTGGTTAAAAAATCAAAATATATAAAAATGTTTATAACAATGTCTGAAATGAAATGCTCTCACCCCGCTGGGAATTCCGACAAATCCCTTCTTAGTGTGCATTCCCATGGCGTACTCTACTAAAATGCAGTTAGAAACAAAAAATCAATCTAAAATATTACAGTAGAAGCCGTTCTTCCGGTTAAGCCTTAATGCTCTCCCTCTCCCCCCGCTGGGGAATTCCGACAAATCCTTTCTTAGTGTGCATTCCCATGGCGTACTCTACTAAAATGCAGTTAGAAACAAAAAATCGCATCTAAAATATTACAGTAGAAGCCGTTCTTCCGGTTAAGCCTTAATCCTCTACCTCTCCCGTGGGGGAATTTCGAAAAATCCCTTCTTAGTGTGCATTTCCATGACGTACCCTAACTGTCGACCAAATTTCACCTCTTAAGGTTAAGCAGTTTGCTCTGGGCAATGATGAATCAGTGAGTGAATGAGTGAGTCATTCAGTCAGTCAGGATAAGCAATTTTATATATTTAGATAATAGTTAATTGGTTTTAACATTCTCATCAACAACACTATAAGAGAAAAATGTAAATTAATACAAATTTTTTAAAAATCAGAAACAGCACAAGCCCATTGGGTATGAAATGCCAGAGGACATGCTCTATAAAATTTTTCATATCCAGGTATGAAAATTTCTATAATGTTCAGCAATACTAGCAAATGAAAACAAACTATAATTTGCTTTAAGTTGATATTTTATTTTAAAGTGGTGATCTGAAACCTAAAACTGCTGTTTAGTAAGATATGTCTCTAAGACTGCAGTTAGTGAATTTTTGGTTTTATTGACTAACATTAAAAGTATATGCAGACCCATCTTTTGTACGTGCGAGGCCCTGGGCCAAGAAATGGAGGCCCCATTAAGGAATTCATAATAGACAGTTAATATTCATAAATTTTTTCAATTAGCTTTCTCTGCTAAACATATTGTTATATTTTTATGTTTAATAAAATTTATCAAACATATCTTTTGATTGTTTACTGTTTATAATAATTTTATTACTTGTTGCTCTATTCAATTTTGCATATTTTTGAGGTTTCAAATGTTAGGAGGCCCCTGGGCCCATGCCCAGTAGGACCACACTTAAAAACGGGCCTGAGTATACGTTAAAACAATTAAAAAAATGTATAATTTGGAGATTTTATTAATTATTAATAACAACTGTGCATTCATTATCAGCCAGATATTGAGAATGATAAGTTTAAAAATGCCTATCTGATGATAATGATAACTATAATACTAACTCTGATTATAATAAGCAAAATTTTGTGTGTATTTTAACTTGTATCTTTTGAAAAGTGTTAATTACGATAACATTAAACAGCTGATGATAGCATCAGTGATTACAATAAGTAGATTTCTTTGTTTATGTATATATATTAACTCTAGATATTTTTATATTTAAGACTGCTATATTATATACAGCATCCTTGAAAAGAGATTAATTAGAAGAATAATTATCAAAAGCTGCTATATTTAACATCATATATATCCCTGAAAGTTACAATCCTAAATGAACAAATTAAACACTTACAAGATAATTTACTAATTAAAGGCATAAACAATAACAACATAAATTTGTATAAAATATAGTGCAATATGAAAAGACATCACTTGAATTTGGAATTAAAGCTGGATCAGCTGAATATTGAAGTAGTCAGTCCACTTCTTGAATATGGGGATAAAGAAAGATGTTGCATTAAATGAAACCACGGTTATGATAAACATACGTACACATCACTTTATTTTCCATGGAATCCCCACGATCCTGAAAAATACAAATTAGTGGCATTTAGGAGCCTTTGGAGCAGGGTTTTTACCCAATGCTCATAAGTTTGTTTATGATATAGAGAAAATAATGTAAACACAAATAATTATTTAGTAGTAGCAAACTGAATAATTAAAAAAGATATCAATATCAAATGCACTAAAAAAAGCAAAAAATGTTTCTGAGTGTAATCCAGATAAAATTATTTATTTCAATTTTATATTACATCTCAGACACATTTTCTAATTTGTCAAAGAATAAGTTTTTTAACTAGTTAAAGTCATAATAAGATAACAATTAACAATACCAAAGAATTATAAATTAGAAATTGCACCAAAATAAAGTGAAAATATTTCAACAAGTTATAATTTTAAATAATAAATGTACAAATACAAATGAAATAAAAATGAGTCAATAATGATCAATACTAAGTGATTTCACCTATAATAATTAGCTAAATTCATTAATAAACTTATTCCACTGTGTCATTATTCCAAAATTTCATCATACAGAGAGTTTGATAATTTCATTAGTTTTAAAAGTCAGTTTTTTTTATTGTATTTTAACTGTAGCATAAGCAGTCGCTTATTCCAGTTACATAATTTTCTTTATATTGTGTTTTTGGATTTGATTATTTAAATCTCAGATATGATCATTTTACTTATTTATTTCTTTTAACATATGCAAAATATATTTATTTATATAAATACTTCTTGGTATTACATTTCATAATCAAGCATTACTTTTAAAACTATTTTTGATCCAATAATAAATTTATTTTTTTCTTGTTCTATGAACAATTTTGTAAACACTCCAAACCTTCTTCATAGAACCTTATAAACAATTCTCCAGTAACTTTTTACATTGATAATAACTAATGTTTTCAATTCTTTAGATGGATCATTAGTTGTTATCAAGGTAATAAGCTACTGGAGAATTGTTTAGAAGGTTCTAGAAAGGTTTAGAACTATACTTCTACTCCAGAATTAATAAGTGTGAGTAGAACATTTTGTAAATGTTTGATTTACAATTTTTTGTAATTACAACTTATTTTCATATTTATAGATTTATTTCTAGGTAATAAATTCACAATTATCTTAATGTAAATAATGTACCATGAAAAATACTGAAATATATAGAATGTAAACACGAACATTATATCAAGCTATATCTTGTATTTGCTACATAATAACTAAATGTAATTGCATTATACCAACTCTCCACTTAGCATGATCGTATTGCTGTCACCTGATGATTCATAGAGCAATGCAATCACTGCCTATATGCACTTTGTGCAAAAAGGAAAGTGATTTGTAATGAATTGTGGAAAATTTTATAAACAGCAGCAAAACTTTCAACTTAAAGTATATAAATATCTTCTGAAACCCGATTCATTAGTATAAAGTCATACCAACTGCCAAATAATATCAGGCTATTTTCACTGAAAAAGTGCCTGATATTATTCAGCAGTTGGTGTGTCTTTAAAGTTAAGTTTTATATTTTTCAATTTAATTTTGTATTTAATTTTTTAAATCTAGTATTT